GAATTTTGCTGTGTTCCGTTAAAACAACAACAACAACTTCAACAACAACAATATTAGAATATACTTTTGACACTCTCAACGTTTGCGTTGGTTGTTGCCTCGAACTCGACTCGTGATATCTTTGGTCAAGCTGGTGCGTGATCTTCCCAAAATTGTCTCACAAAAACGTTTGCTTTTGCCTTTTCCTCGAAACACTCATCACCGGCAATTTGGTCTTTTGTTATCATCATCTTGTGTAAACTTTTCACATTTGCACATTCTCTCTCTTACGAAACACACATCTCTTACGCAACATTTTCTCTCCTAGATATATTAGAATTCTTTCAAATCCACAATGGTTTCTTCCTTCAACGATAAACGACTGATCGTCCAAGATGACATTTCTCAATTCGATATTCATTTCGAAACATTTTCGATCATCCAGAAACGTTTGCGTGCTTCACAACCTATCTCTCGAATACCATGAACAGTGAATGCAGTGAGTTTCTTCAAGTGTGAATGAATACAGAAAGATTAAACACGAACGCAAACGATTACAATTGGCAACGCTTAATGTACGAAAAATTTATCGCCGATTCTTCGAATTCACAGCAATTTACGAAATGATATTAAAATGCGAGTATATAAGGTGGTGAACCCAAATAGTCCAACTCCAGGACAGGCTCCTTCAAATAGTGGTTCTTTAGAGGAAGTAGAGGTTCAACTGCCAACTGTCAAAAATACTCGATCTTCGAGGAGTAATAGTAGTGGTAGTGGAGGTGTAAGAAATAGTTTGGATTCGACAAGTAGTGGTAGTTCGATCTCTTTCACGAATGGTTCCTCAGCAGTGACCAATGTCGAAGTGTCAACTTCTTCTTTACCTTCTCATGGATCAACTGTCACTTGTCCAAAGAATTTATTTGATGAAGTAGAATCCTTAGTGTTACTGCAATTGAAGGAAAATCATTTTTCAACATTCCTTGCAAGTGATCATTTTAAAAACTTTCTCAAAAACAACCACTTCAAATACTCTACGAAATTGGAAGTTTGAAAAGTGACAGTTTGCTTCAATTTGTGGAATCCTTATCTGAAACCATGAAATGTGAAAATTTCACACTCCATGATTTTCGTTTCATCAAGAAACAATTTTCAAATTACGATCCTTCAGAATGGGAAGTCATTGGCAGCAGTGACCATCACAAATGCTACATGTCAAAACGAACCTATGACATGGGAGAATCTGTCGGATTGAGCTTTTTCAAATTCGATGTCACATTTCCATACAGTGCCAAACAAGTCATGAATACATTTTTCGAACAAGAATATAGATATCAATACGATGGAGAATTGAGTCGAATTGAACAATTGGCGTACTATGAAAAGAAGATTTCAAATTCAGCCATTGGATCGATCCAATGTATGACATCGTCGTCGTCACCTTCCAATAGTCCACAAATATCTCCTCAAAACAACATTCCTTCCTCGCCTACGACCGACTCACCTATGACGATCGTGTCATCAACGTCGAGTGCTTTGAACAACAACCACTCGAATGCCACTTCCATTCTGTTGGCCACTTCACTCACTCAGGAAATTTACAAATTGGTGTGGCCTTTCAGTAATCGAGATTTTATTGTGTCATCGAGTGGAATTTATGATCTCTCCACGAATACTTACTTTATGGGAAAGAAGAGTTGTCTCTCTGAGAAGGCGAAAAAGCCAGAAAAGAATGTGGTGAGAGCTTTCTCATTTGGTGGATGGGCCTATAAGGAAATTGATGAAAAACAACTCAATATTCTCAAATGTTTTATATGGACCTGAAAGGTAACATTCCAAAGCCAATTGTCAAGTCCATTCTGAAAGATCGAGCCAAGCACTTTATGAAGGTTGGAACCAAGTTTTTAAAACTCAACGAGAAGAGAGGTTTCATTTGTAATCAAGATAACTTTATGTTGAAAACATTTGAAGAGAATGGAGCCATGTATCTTTAAGAGAGAGGACGTTTTGCATTATCGATTCGGAGAGTGACCGACCTATGAGAAAGCTATTGAGCTCTCCAATGTCTGCCCTACGAAACAACAAACAAAACTCGATTATTTGGAAAACACTTGGAATAACCTTGATACAACCCAAATGCCCCCACATTGCTCGAGTGGTTTAAGAAGAAAATTAAGAATTTTCTTGTTTTATTGTGTTTCGAAATCATAATCCAAAAGTGTTTGTTGTTTCATACATCCCTACTCTATTCCGACTAGTTATTTATTCAATAAATCTCTTTTTGAAG